GTATTCATTGCCATTTTGTTTGTTCATACATTTTATCTTTTTCTTCAAAAAGACCCTTCATCATTTCATATAATAACGGTTTGGTAGTGATGAACTCCTTTAACTTTATCTTGTCTGGGAAAGTTTTTATATGTCCATCGATTCTAAATGACAGCTTTGCAGGATAGAGTAATTTTGGTTGTAGGTTCTTGGTTTTCATCACTCTGAATATTTCTTGTCATTCCCTTCTGGCCTGCAAAGTTTCTTTTGAGAAATCAGCTGACAGCCTAATGGGTACTCCCTTGTAGGTAACTAGCTGCCTTTCTCTTGCTGCTTTTAAGATTCTCTCTTTGTCTTGAACCTTTTGCATTTTGATGATGATGTGACTTGGTGTGGGCCTCTTGGGGTTCATCTTGTTTGAGACTCTCTGTGCTTCCTGGACTTGTATGTCTGTTTCCTTCACCAAGTTAGGAAAGTTTTCTGCCATTATTGTTTCAAACAGGTTTTCGATTTCTTGTTCTCTCTCTTCTCCTTCGGGCACCCCCAAGATGCGAATGTTGGCACGCTTGAAGTTGTCCCAGAGGCTCCTTACACTATCCTCATTTTTTTGGATTCTTTTTTCTTTTTGCTGTTCTGATTGGGCATTTTTTGCTTCCTTATATTCCAAATCGATGGTTTGCTCCTTGGATTTACATACTCTATTATTGAAGCTGTGTAAATTATTCTTTATTTCAGTTAATGCCTCCTTCAATTCTAACTGTGTATCCATGATTTCTAACTGGTCCTTTTTTATGCTCTTGAGGCCCTCCCTAAGTTCACTGAGGTTCTCACTAAGTTCATTGAGCATCCTTATAAGCAGTATTTTGAACTCAGTATCTGTTAGGTTGCTTATCTCCCTTTCGCTTAGTTCTTTTATTGGGGTTTTGTTCTGTTCTTTCATTTGGGACCTGTTTCTTTGTCTCCTCATTTTGGCTGCCTCCCTGTGTTTGTTTCTGTGTATTACTTAATGAGAGGTATGGGGCTCGCTGAGACCCGATGCTGCTCGTTTGAAAGAATTTAGGAAAAACCTGAAGCAGGATCCAAGACCGGCCAATCCTATGGTTAAGCAAGTGGCAACAGCTTGGGTGGGCTTGAAAGTTGGGTGGGGCAGGGCCTCAGGGAGTCAGCAGGGCGGGGCTACCAGTGTGAGCCAGGTTGCTGGAGTCCCAGATATGGTGGCTGTCTGCCGCCCCAGGGAAGGGCTCACCAAAGGAACAAAGGCCTCTGACAGCACGTTTGTCCCCAAGGAAGCCCCCTCTCCAGCCCTCGCTCCAGTGCCAAACAGCTCAGTTCTTCCCTGTATGTCTCTGGCGCCCCTGGAGCTGCCTCCCCTCCGAGCTTAGAGGGAGAGAGTCCAATAAGTCCGTGCGCGGGCCCTTTAGGGAGCTGCCTGGGGCTCCAGCCGCCTCAGCCTCCCTGAGCCTCAGTTCCCGCTGGTTTTTCCAGCCAGAAGTTATGGGGACTCTCTTCCTGGCACTAGAACCCTGAGCGGGGCACCTGGTGTGGGACGGGGACCCCTCAGTCCTCAGGAAGGACCTTCCCAGCCGCGGGAGCCTCCTGATTTTTATCCACCACGCTTGGATGTGGGATCAGCCCGTCTCTCCGCCGCGCGCCACCGCCACACCACCCGTCCTACCAGTCTGGATATAGCTGCTTTTTTTTTTTTTTAATTCCGTAGTTGTACGACTTCCATTCAGCTTGATTTCAGGCAGTTTTGAATGATGGTTGTTCTGTAGTTTAGTTGTAACTTTGATGTGGTTGTGGGAGGACGCGATACCGCGTTTACCTACGCCGCCATCTTGACCGGAAGTCCTCAGTAAAAGCTTTTTAAAAAAATATATAAAATACAGAAAAGAATAAAAACTTATTTTGTTTCTGCAAGCTGGGTAGACAGCAAGGCAAGTGCAAGTAAGGATGTGGGAAGTCATATTCTACATTCTTCCTGTCTTATTGTGGCAGCTATGATTTCTGAGGCATAATCTGAGTAAAATTTCTTTCCTTGAAGGTAGGAAAAATTATCACCCAAACCTAACCTCTATAACATTTTGCTTTATTTATTTTAGGCTATGATAGTGCTGGTCACTTACTTTTTTTTTTACTTCTTTTTTTGTGAGTTAGAGGGGGAGGCATTATTGTAGTCACAATATGGAGATAATTTTGTACTTTTGTTATTTATACTTGACATTATAAGACTCTTCCAGTATTTTTCATAAAAATCATTTCAGTATCTTTAAGAGCTGCCTAATTCATTCAGTCATCACCCTAGTACATTAATATTATCATCCACTATTGTAGCACATTTGGACTAACTCCAAGCATTTCTATGCATAAAAATTTCTCCACAAATTATGTTATTTCCATACTATATTATCTTAGCTCTAGACTTTCCAGGTCAAAAAATAAAGACGTGTAAGTCTCCTAATTTATATGGACACCCCATACCTAATGCATGTTCATTTCTTTTCCCTACTGTTGAATGCAGCGAGGGCATATGTTAGATGAAGGAAACAGTAAGGTAAAAGCTGACCTCATCACTCCTGCCATGCCTGTAGCCCAAGCTCCTCCAACTCCATTCATTCTATCTGGGTCTGGATCAAACAAGGCTCTGGCTTCTTAAGACTCTGTGTCATCAGTACATATGTCACACCTATGGAAGAGAAAGTGCATGGTGCAGTTCATAGTCTGTTCATGGCAGAAGGAACCAGCTAAGCTTGGTACCTTGGTGACAGCAACCCCTGGCTTCCCTCTCATTGGTTAATCATTTCCTTTGAAGCTCTCCAATCATGTTATGGTCCTTTTCACCCAGGGTGTGTTTAAGTGTGACTTGTATGCCCAGGATGCTGTGATATCACCACCGATGTCACCCTATGTGGTCATAAAAGCTATAGCAAGTATCATATCTGCCCCGTGGAAGGAGTCATTAATCCCTAGATCTCTCTCCATGACTGACAGCCCTGACACTAACATCATCTCACCTCCTCTCACTGTCCAGAACACGTCCATACAATCAACCCCAACTGTTCTTGTAAACCCTGAACCTCCACGTGGCCCAGGTACCCCAGCATATGCAATTCGCAATATGACCCCACGCAACAACTTCCCCTCCGGCCATCCCCAGCCTCCAGCTCCTCATGGTCTAGAGTTGCCTATAAATAGGTAAGGACATGACTTGGACATCAGATGGATGTAGGCAGCGACTATCCAGACCTGTCTTGGTTTTACCCACACTTCTCTGCCTGCCCGACATCACTGAGGTGTCCATGGCTGTCTTTGTTGGGATCACCTCACCGAGGTCCTCAGCTCGCAAGTCTTATCTGTATCACAAGAGTCTCTCGCCCCTCATCCTTTCTTCCTTTTAGAATTGAGTCCCACTGCTCTGGGATGTCTAAACCATATCACTTCAGTCATATGGCCTGAGAGACCCTGAGTAAAAGCAAGGAACTTCACACAAGATTTCAAAAATATTCTGGGCTGTTTCCCAAGGACTTTTATTATCCTAGCCTCTGAATCTGAAAGGCAGAGGAGGGCTAGGGCTCATTTTCAGCTGGGAAATTGAGGCCTAACTCAGTCATTAACAAGATGCAAACGCCAAGTCCAGCTGGTTCCTAGGCTGAGCCAAATGCCAGGTTCTCCTCAGTTCTCCCAAGGAGAGCCTCCCTTTGGGTGATTTACAGAACCACCTGTGAACCAGATCAAGGTCCCCCAAAGAGATAGAACAATGGCCAACTCTTCCACTAGCTATATTCCCCAAAGAGGGAGCAAGACAGAGGCAGAGATTCAAAACAAAAATTCAAGGAAAAGAAGAAATGCTTAGCCTCCTTGGCTCCTCTCCCCTACTCTGAAACCCTGAGCAGCGACATCTCCGTCGACTTTTTGCTGGTCCCCTCAGAGGGTGGAAGAAGTTGACTTTGGCTTTTCTCCGGCTCTTGATTGCCATTTGCTCATGATTCGGGCAGGCAGCACACTGCCTCGCTTACTTCTCTCCAGACCCATCACAAATTTGCTGATGATCACAGTGACACCCAGCCAGTGTTCCTGCCCGCATGTACTGCCAGGAGCTCTCTTGCCTGCAGAGAAGCAGGGCCTGTGGAGGAGAGACCACCCATGGGACAGAGGGTGGAGCACAGATAGGCCTCGGCAGGAGGCTTGCTTGCTTTTTCTCTTCCTAGCATTTTCAAAAAAAATTGCACATAAAAGTTTGCATCTTGTTTGTTAACATTTAATATCAAAAATCAAGTATTGTCATGCCACTGTATTTAAGGGGCTAGCAAATGGTCCATCGATGAGTTTACTTTATCATTTCAACACTGTAGTGTGTACTTTGCTGTCAATTATTTGATCATAGATAAACTGCACCAGACAACATTGGCCCTAATATGTTCCACATTTGTGAGGCCATTTGCATAGGATAGATTATGAGAAGCAGAGTTTGTGGTTCAAAGAGTATGGACATTTTTAAGTCTGCTGATCATATTCAGTGTTCTATTCAGACACTGTTGTAGGTCTACGGTGAATGTTTGATAAATAGACCAATTACTGGAAGGCTAATCCTTACTTTTACCATTCTTGTACCTCCAGGCTTTCCAATTCTGTGTTTTCCATCTACAGTGTGGCTACTGTGGCTTACACTGCTTGAGACTCAGTGGCATTATTACTCATGTCACATTGATATGGTCAGAACAATTGTGGAAGTGCTCTGCTCTGTGGATGGAGAGAGATCTGTCACATGAAGAGGAAACAGCTAAGCATGATTTCTGGGCAATGCCAATTCCTGGTAATCCATCTGGAGAAACAGCTTCCTCATAAACATCCCAATCAAATCAGCAATTGAACCCTTCTTGTGTGTACCCTAAACCTCTGTAGTAACCACTGGCAACCTTGGGTTATGAAACTCACATGACATACAGTTTCTTGCTTGGGCTCCTCCAAATGTCTGTGTTGCCACTGCCCAGGGCTGCCTATATATAAAAGGATCCCAAGAGGCCAGCAGTAGCAATCTCCAAAGCTCCCTCTCAGTTCTGCCTACACTCCTCTGCCTGGCCTGCATCATGAAGGTCCTCGAGGCTACCATCCTTGTCCTCCTCTGCACCATGGCCCTCTGCTCCTCTCAGGAAGGTGAGTTCACTGTCCACTTGCCTTTAACGACAGTTGCTCCCCACACTCTGGCCATAATTCAGACCGGAGCATTTCTGAAATTTCCCATGTGAAATTAGAGAACCTTGAATGGGGTTTCAAGATTACACTGTTGTTTTCTTCAAGAGGGGTTGCATGGAGTCTATTGATCTGGGTGGCAGGATAGAAGGTGAGAGTTTTTATATTGCTTTTTGGATGAGATCATTAAAGTCTAATTTATTGGGTTATTGCGGTGAAGGCAGGGGGCAGGGAGGAGGATTCCATGGGGGAAAAAAAGAAGGAACATCTGTAATACTTTCAACATTAAAAATTTTTTAAAGTTACTGGGTTATTAGCATGAGGTAGAATCTAGGTCTATTTAGATCTCAATGGTGCTGGTAAGTTTTAGAATCATCTTAGCTATTCCCAAGAGTTGCAAGAATTGTCCCTACTTTTACTCAGCTATCTTATGATCTAATGGATTGGAAAAGAAATTTTCCCCAAAGAGATTTAGGAAAAGGGAGTAGACTAGAGTTTGGTTTCCTGTAGAGTGAGACAGAAGCCAAAATGAAGAGACAAACCAAAGACAAGACTAAGGACATTCATGAGAAACAAACAAAAAAGCCCAATTATTCCCAGTTGCCTTTTCTCCCAAGCCTCATCGCTGAGCTCTGCTGTCTCTCCCTGTTCCTGCCCCTCTCAGACTTGCCTGTGCTCCTGAGCAACTCCTGTTGTCCTTGTTCCCCCACAGTGTACATGGACATCTTAAGCACCTGCTGCTTCTCGTACGTGCCCCACCGGATCTCCCGCAGATTTGTCACTCACTATTTTAAGACCAGCAGCAAGTGCCCCAAAAGTGGTGTTGTGTAAGTGTGGGTACCGTGCCCATCCCTGGGTGACACAGGGTGCAGGAGTCTGAATGGAGAGCAGTTGGCAGGTGCACCAGCTAGTGAATAAAGAGCCATCCTGGGAAAGCCCAGCCCTCTGGGGGCCTTTTGTGCATGTAGAACAAAGAGAGAGGCCACTGGGGCTGTTTCCTATGGTGAAATGGGGCAGCCCGCAGGGAGCCAGGGAAGGTGTGCCCAGAAGTAGAGGAAAGAGAGGAGAGACAGAGAGCAGCAAGGAGGTGGCCTTAGGTTATCTCCACAAATCACTCAGAGAAGGACCGGAAGTCCCTGAGGTTTGGGGAATGATTCCTTGATAAGGGGGGACCAGCCCTGAACTGCCCACAGGGATGAAGATGAAGGGGCCATAGGTGGTCAAGCATGTCCTTACTCATTCTCTATATAACACGTCTGCCTTCTCTACAGTTTTATCACCAGAAGGGGCCAGCATATCTGTGCCGATCCCAGCAAATCCTGGGTTCAGGAATTCATCCGCAGAATGGATGAAATTCCCCAAGAGGTCCGGAGCGGTCCAAAGGCCTTCGAATACACAAACTAGGGGTATGTCCCTGCAATCCCAGAAGTTCCCTGTCCTATGAGTGCATCCCCTCTCAACTAACCACATTTTGAAAGTTTTCTTTATGTAGTAAGGTATTCAAATATTGTTAAATCGTTTTATTAATTTGATGCTTTCTCTGAGATATCATTGTAACACCTTGTTATCCCTAAATCCTTCCCCAGTCAGCATACAGTGGGTGACTCCTGTTCATGGTGATAGTGAATGAATGATTGTGCTCCTGTCTCTGGGTCAACATTGGAAAAAACATATCAACAGATGCTTACTGAGTTTGGATAGGCCTTTTGCTCTGTTAAAATGCTGGAATAATAAAGATTCTTTTTGTTTTCTTATGTAAATATTGGACTTATGGCTATTCTTTTGTTTGTTATTTCCCCTGATAAACCAGTTTCATTGGTGGGAAGGAATGAGATGAAATAATTAGGGGCATCGAGTAAGAAGGGGAAAGCAAGAGAAAGGGGTGAGTGTCCTTCCAAGGCCACAAGGCTTTATGCCTGTGACACGTTGCTCATAGGCTGAAAAAGAAGCAAAGTATTAAAAACAAATGCAGCCCTGGCCGGTTTGGCTCAGCGGTTAGAGCATCGGCCTGTGGTCCAGAGAGACCCGGGTTCGGTTCCTGCTAAGGGCACGTACCTCGGTTGCAGTTTATCACCCCCACCCCCCGCCGCTGGGTCGTGCGGGAGGCAGCCACTAGATGTGTCCCTTTCACATCAATGTTTCTCTCTCTCTCTCTCTCTTCCTCCCACTCTGTCTGAACAAAAAATGGAAAAATGTCCTCGGGTGAAAATGAAAAAAAAAATGCAAGTTTACATGTGCCAGGGAAATCCACCATTTAAATGAACACCAAAGCAGATCATTCTATCATGCATATTTATGCATTTTCATAAATTCAGCTTTCTTAAAAATGAAGACTATGCCCTTCTTAATCCTTCTGCCCTTTGCAATAGCTTCCAACCCCAGTGGCACCTGGGTCCAGGCATCAGGAACCCAGAGCTGAAACTGAGGGGCCCAGAAAGAAAGAGCCAAATCCCTCCGTAGATTGGGGAGCAGGGACTGAGCCAGAAGAATGGCACCTGCCACTCCAGAGCTACCTTATGGGTCTAAAACCATCTCCTACTAACCAAACTTTGGAGCTTTCCATTCTTAAATTTTTATTTATTTGAGTTATTTCACCTTTATTATACATTTCCTATTTTGAACTGTGTTTTCCAATGAATGTTTCCTCTAAGAAATCACATAGTTCACAGTGATTCAAGGCGATGTTGAATGATTGTGCTGAAACTTCTCTCTAGATATTGGACCAAATCCATCAACGAATAAGACTTTATTAATTACAAAATATTAAATATTTTATTAAATACCAAAAAAAATATTCTCGGGTGAGGATTAAAAAAAAGTAAGCCTTGGGCCCTAGTCAGTTTGGGTCAGTGGGTAGAAGGTCGGCCCACGGACCAGTCTCGGGTTCAATTCCCAGTCAAGGGCACGTACCTCAGTTGCAGGCTCAGTCCCCGGCCCTGGTTGGGGTCATATGGGAGGCAACCAATCGACATGTCTCTCTCACCCTCTCACTCTACCTAAAAAAAAAAAATCAATGGAAAAATATCCTAGGGTGAGGATTTTTTTTATCCTCATCGAGGACATTTTTGCATTCATCTTCAGATAGAGTGAGAGGGAGAGAAGGAGGAAGAGAGAGAGAGAGAAACATCAATGTGAGAGACACACATCGACTGGCTGCCACCCAGGCAACCCCAGACGGGGCCAGGGACAAACTGCACATGCTCTAACCACTGAGCCCAACCGGCCAGGGCTAGGTTGAGGATTTTTTTTCATGGCATTATGAAGCTAAAGCAGAACCTAGAAGATAATCTATAGCTTTATTTTTATTTATTTATTTTTTTTATTCTCACCTGAGGACAAACTGCAACCAAGGTACGTGCCCTTGGCGAGAACCGAACCCGGGTCTCTCTGGGCCATGGGCCGATGCTCTAACTGCTGAGCAAAACTGGCCAGGGCATCATCTATAGCTTTAAATGTTTCTGTTAGAAAATAAGAAAGGCATAAAATGTCTATCTTAAGAAGCTATGAAAAGTTGAGCAAATTAAACCCAAAGTAAGTAGAAGGAAGGAAATAATGAGATAGTATGCAATGACACAGAAAACAGCAAACAAAAGAGAAAAATCAGTGAAGTCAAAAACCGGTCATCTGGAAAGATTAACAGCTTCTCAACCATTTCTCAAGACCTCACAAATTTCCTATTAGAGACCAGAAGCTGATGCTCCCAGCCTGGTGCCATGTCAGGGCCCATCCCCCTGCCCACCCAGTGAGAGAGAAAACCTGCAGAACATGGAGTGCAACATAGTCCACAAGCTACAAGGCATAGACAGGTGGACGGGGTACCAACCTGGGAAGACCCAGTCCCCTGGGGCCCCACTAGGTGTGCAGGACATGAGCCCAGGGCCAGTAGGGAGTCGAGAAAGAGCTCCCTCCATGCAGAGGAGAGAGGAAGGGATAGCAGGAGGAAGTCAGCCCCTGTGAGCAATGAAAAAATGTCTAGGCACCTTGGCTCTGAAAACAGACCATCTGTGAGATCCCCAGATCAGAGAGAGAGAGAGAGAGAGAGAGACCCACATGGAACTGTTGCATGGAACTATTCCTTTTTTATAGACTTCTCCCTCTCAACATTGCTTCCTCCACATAAGAGACTGACTAGGTCAGCGTCAATCCCAGCAAGGTGTAGGTCCAGAAATACATAAACAATTGGAATTAGAACCTCGAAGGGTCTGGAACCCACAAAGAGAAAGCTAGAGCTGTGAACAGATTGGACACGGGGACCTGAGCCAGACACGGTCTCTGTGACCTCAGAAGCCCCTTCCAGACATACTCTAGGGCTCTGTTCGCATTTGTCTTAGATTTATGGATGCTAATGTATGGTTCTAATTACATTTCCATTTCAATTGTGTGCTGACTAAATGTTCTGGGAGATCATATGCCCCGCCCCCCTCATTCTTCCCCTCACGGATTTCTCTCCAGACACACAGGGGATTTCTGTGGCTGCAATGAGCTGGGTCTAGGCAGACACTGTAAAAACTTCATCAAACCTGCAATATGTTTACTATGAGTATCCATTTCCGGGTTTGGAAAGAATAAAGTTTTCTTTCTTTTTCCCTCCCTCCTTCTGTCCTGGATTGCTCCCTCCAAATTTCATTAAATCCTAAATTTGAGAAGTGTTCACGTTAGAGGGGGTGGAACAACTGATACTCTGCTGCTGGGAGTGTGACCTGGTCCTATCGCTTTGGAAAAGACTATTGTCATCTGGAAAGTAAAGGTGAGCCCTGCCAGTCCTCTCCGACATACATCCTGCAGGTACCGTCACGTATGTACACCAGGAACCATGCCAAGAATGCTCACAGCAGCCTGCTGGCATTAACGAGCCGAAAAGGGGGAAAATGGCAAACGGATCATGGTATAGTCATACGCTGGAACATCAGCAAGAATGAAACAGACATACTGCAGCTACACACACACAGTAACATGGGTGAATCTCAGAAGCATAATGTTGAGAGAAAAACACTGCAGAGAATACATGCAATGATGATTCCGTCTATATAAAGTTCAAAAATATGCAAAGCTAAAAGTAGGTTGTTTAAGATTCAAATACACATGGTGAAACTAAAACAAAAGCAAGAGTGTGAGGTGAACAATACTGGGGAGAGAGAGCGCTCCGAGGGAGAAGGGAAAGGGGGCAGGATTGTGCAGAGGCACATGGGGTGGAGGGCGCAGGGCTGTCTGTCGGTTGTCATTCTTTATTCTCAATCCACATTTTATGTCCACTCAATATTAAATAAAAATAATTATAAGACTATAGAAATCACATTATAGCCCAACTAGTGTGGCTCAGTGGTTGAGCATCGACCCATGCACCACGAGGTCCTGGTTCAATTCCTGGTCAGGGGGTTGTGCGCCCAATCCCCGGGGGGGCATGCAGGAGGTAGCCAATCTCTCTCTCTCTCTTCCTCTCCCTTCCTCTCTCTCTAAAATCAATTTTAAAAAATGTTTTTTAAAAAAATAAAATAAAAATCAGGTTATAGAAAAAAACATTTAGTATGACCCCATTTTTTAATTGTGTGTGTGTGTGTATATATATATATATAATACTATAATGATACTATAATGATTATATAGAGAAAAATGCCCAGAAAATTAGAGAGCTTTCCTTCTTAGATTTTCTTCAAAAATTTAGGAAAATTCATGCACCATTTTGTTTAAAATATTTTAAATTACATATAAGAATTTATAATAAGATAGAATTGTTTATAATATATCAAGGCATGGGTTATGAAATTGGTTCTTTTTTAATTTGGGGGTTTGGTGTGATTTCATCTAAGAAGGAAACAGGCAGAGAAAAAAGACAAAGATACATTTTTAAATGTTACTATGGGATCACAGGGGATTTCTACTTACTTCTTTTTGCTTAAGTATTTCTAAATTTCTCCAGTGTTGCTTTTTTTTTTTTTCTTTCCAACATTTACAGGCATTATTGACAGGATATAGCCAGTATGCCAAAATTTATCCATCAATATACAACCTCATTTCCCATCCACAATTAATGAGAATATATTTTACTTTAAACATATAGGCAAAGTGCCAAAAATTCAAATATAACCTTAAAGTCTTAAATTCACACTTCAAATATCAAAAGAAGCAATTCCCAAAATCATGAAAACATGATGAAGTAACTACACAGAAAAAAATGGACGTTTAAGTCATTTCACTTTTTCTTGTATATAGTGAAAACAGATGTATTTATAACTTCAGACTTCAGAAAGCATACTTCATAAAGTCATTATTCATTTAAAATAGACAAATGTTTACAAAGAACATTTAATTTAAATTTCATAGTTGCTTATAAAATGGTACTTGAAAGGTTGACCTACATAAAGAAATAAGAGTCCTGTCAGGAGAGATGGTAAACTATAAATATAAAATATACCATAATACTAAAAACCTCACAGTATTCTATAGGAAAATCAATAAAGATAACTTAATCTTTCTGGGGGAAAATGTATTTAGCATTACAGATTTAAACATAAATTTTATATATGAATTCAATAAGGAATACATTTAAACCGTGCATTGCCACATAATCATCATGTATTATGTGTAAAACAATAAAAATGACGTATTTTTTGAACATGTATACATCAAAGCCAAAAGGTTTTCCTTTACTGGCAAATTTGGGTACATTTTTAGGTTTTGGTTTCCAGGGGGCATTTTTTTACAAATCTTGAAACTGCACCTGTGTCCAGCTTGGCAGCCTTCTTCTTGTCTGTTATTTCCT